GGATCTTTGGATAAAGAGGTCATGTCCCAAGTATTGGCAAACTTAGTCCCACTTAGAGAATATATAGTAACCTTGGTTTCTTAACATGTTAAACTTGGGAAATATGATATCCAAAAACATTGAAAGAAAAAAAAGAAAAGAGGATACGTGGTCCACGAAGATCTCGCCCCTCTGCACAAGCCCTGATGATCGACTTCGGAAGTGCACCGGGACCACATGGAATCGGATGCGTTGGCCCGGATTCCTTGACTTTTTGTTTCTTTGACCTTTTTTTCGGTCGCCTATCACACCCTGCTTTCCCGAATTTTAACCTAAAGCTTTTTTTATATCTATATATACTAAATACGGAGTACTCCGGTTAACCCAACATAACCTGCCAAGCCATCTCTTTTATTGCAATATCCCAACCCCGGGGTTCCATCCCAGCTGGGTTTGGTGCCGAGAGACGGAGAATATATCCAGAGCAACATCACTGGTACCTTAGTTCCATGCATAAGTTTTACTGGGTATACTCCGTAGTGGATTATGAATGCTGTGCAGAGAAATAAAAAGGAAAAAAGCAAACCCGAAAAAAGAAAAGATCTTGGGGCACAGACAGCCTCAGCCGCTTGGCTAGTCCTTTGTTAATCTTTGCCAGCTCACCGATGTGCTCCCGGAACTTCTCCGGTCGGCTCATCAAGCGAAAAAACGATTGGGAAAAATAAGGCCCCTCGAGGCTCCAGGTCGTATGTTGCTCGCACTTGGCCCTTGCGGAATCAACGTACTTTGTAATTAGTAGTAGTTGTGCCACCCAATGTCGCCATCGAGGTTTCTTTTCCCCGCCCCTCGGCTACAGATTAACAGGCATTTAGGAACTCGCCCCGAAACCCTAACAGAACGCGTGACTGTTTGCCGACGAACTTAATTAAATGTTCCTAATTAAAAAAATAAAAAGACAAAAATAAAAAATAAAAAGAGGAATACGGAGTATACGGAGTACTCCGTATGGACTAACTACAACATAACTGCGCAGGTGTCTATCATAACCCCAACTCGGTAAAGACCGACATGGCCAATCCTTGGTTACAGGGGGTCCGTGTGCATGCAGCTAAACGCTTAACCCTAACGAAGACAGTTTCCAAGGTTCCTCGGTTCGTGCCGGAACTATTCTCCATATACTATGCAGGGGTTCAGCAATGGCACGTGTAAAGCATTGACCTTGTCAATAATATACCCCTCCCAATGATACCTGCAGAAATACTTGGGTACTTGTTGGTTGACGCCTAGTTTGAAGTTAGTTAAGTGGCCTGTCCTGGGTGTCGGAACTTGCGGTGTACCACGCTTCCTCCACTGTTGGCATATGCAGCCTCTTGATTTGATATCCTCCGATTGGGAGCGCTCCAATTGGAACACTTCCATGTGGCGACTATCAATTGCCGCCCCAATTCTAATTTTATATACTTTGTATACATATCGTAGCTTTCAGCCCACAACCGTGTTGCTATTGGTACTCAACATTTGTACGATAAAGACACGCAGATCGGCCGAGAGTAAATAGTGCAATATATACCTTGGCGCCCCAAGTGTAGCCTCCCCACTTCCAAGGGCCAAAGCAAACATGGCTCCATGTCTGGAAGAAACCAGGTGAAAATCCACCTCAACTTAGCAATCGCATATAACCCACATTATAAATTAATATGCACATGTTGTACGGAGTAGGTACAACATTACTAAATAATATGTCAGCTCACTTGTTCTTCGCCCATGGGTCAACGCCCCACAGCGGGACAACGATCGAGATGAAACACCCGTTAACCGAGCTATTCCGATTTGCCCTGCTTGATAACTGTCACGGTTGTCAACCCGAGACTCCCGATGTCTTCCGTGTGCTAGTCCCCGGGTGTGTCTCAGATCAAATGGGGGTTTGACATTGAAGATCTAAGATGTCTCGGGTTGTTTGCCGAGTAGATGATGGATGTTGAATGCCTTTTGGGGAGTTTCGCTTGTATCCGAGGGGAAATCTTGTTTTTAGGTATTTTTTATTCATTGTGGGTTTGATCATGAGATCAGCAGGAATGAAATATGAGGCTATGCAAGTCTCAATATGCCAGTGGAGTTTGAAGGATCCATGTCCACAATAGATGGATGCAACGCTGATATCTGTGATAAGCACAACATAGGTACATAGTGGTATCCTAGAACCAACCCGCATGCAATGTCTCACATGCGTCAAAAGCAAAGCTTAGCTATATTGATGTCTTAGATTCAATTAGTCAAGCTGATCTTTTTATTGCGGATGTCCGTCGGAACTCATCCACACGGGAAAAGTGATCTCCGTACAAAGACGAGTTTTTCCGTTGATAATATCTCGAATGAACTTAACTATATATATATATATATCTATGCGTGATATATATCAGTCCAACCCTCTTCCCTGAACAAGCTCACACTCACCTCTTTGTAGGATTTAGGAGATACTCTTCCACTCCAATCAAATGAGTAAAAGCATCAGCATCTACCGCGGAGGTATGCAAATCTTTCACAACTCACAGACTAAATGCCGCCTTGCCCGGCGGATGAGACTAGGCCGCGTGTGCTCCGCCCCCGCGACAAGGGTATACAAAGCTTTCCTGCACACTTATCTTCCAATGAGGATTCGGCTTTGTATAGCCAAACCGACCACAGGACAATATCGGGACCAAGTAGAGGTTCTCCGAGTCTGCAGCGAAGTCATCCATGACAGTTTCTCATAAGCCTTGCTCACTTGCTTGCAATTCCACAAGAAGCCAAAGCACGTGCAGCAGAACTGGAAAAGAAGCCGACGCATCTAAGGTATTTGCTTACGCCTTCCGCTGGACCCTGCGATCAGACCTGTCAAGTACCTACCGGCAAAATTCTCCGAAAAGCGCCGATCAATGACCGGATACTAGAGCCGGAGTTAGGCCGGTAGAAGTCATACGTGCGATGCATGTACGACGCACGCTTAGCGTGTCAGCATCAACCCATTCGCTCTCACGAGTGCAGCGACGTAGCCTTCTGGTTGGCTGCGCAATCAGCCTCTCGTATATGATGATTTTTGTGGCTGTCGCAGGTGCATCACTCGCTATAGTGTGTGGCGTTCAGGAGCGCCGGAAGTCCCTGTGACAGGTGTTTTAGGTGCTGACGTGCAGTCGGGGTTCGCCGAGCGAAGCTGCTTTGTCTTTGCTTTGACTTTTCCCGGGGAGTTTCCGTGCCGATGACCAGATGACCGATTCTCGGGAGGTATACAGCGTTCTTTTGTAGGGGTTGAATAACTTCTTTTAAGGATAGAGTGCGGTGTCGGTGTTGGTTTGGAGTGATATCAATAGGAAGTTGGGTTGGGTTGGCGAGATTGTCTCTCAGCTTCACGGCCAATTGATCGTAGTCCCCGTATCAAGCATACCATGTAGCTCGGATCAGTACATTGATGAAAGCCCAGAGACACCATGAATTTCTCCAGGCAGCAGTCAACCAAGGGATAGTAGAAAGTTTCCGGATGAGAAAGAAAAGGAAGAAGAATTCCATCAAAAGCAGGCGAATGAGTGGCTCCAATTAGGTATATGATTTTTGATCGATGCATGATTGAAACAAAAGTTGGATATTTCGTTCGACAGACATTTATTTAGCACTTCCAGACTTCTCCTGCTTGTGCTCTTCCCATTTCTCTGTGATCACGTTGACAATCTTGGTCAGCCCTTCCATTTCCTCCGCAACTTCCAACCCCATTCCATGTGGATCAATACTGCAGCCGACGTAGACTGGCATGGAAAACCGTCGAGCCAGGATCTTAGCTATGCGGCCTGTGTATTCAATGCTAGATGGTGATGTGTAGAGTGTTGTTGATATTGTCGACTTAGGTGAAGTGCGCTATATAGATGTCAGCCATGTCCTGATAATGCAAAGAATTATATTTAAAAAAGACCAGGACATTCCAATTATCAGAATCGGGGATATCCGTTTAGCGCGACAAGTCTCCTGCCTAATTGAAGCTTGAGGTTTGGTTGTACACGGCAGATTCCAGCATATTGCCTTCGGACTGAACAGGGAAGAGCCACTCTGGAGATGTGCCAAATAACGATGCCATCGCTTGTTTCTGTAGTATGGCATGGGAAAATGGCATTGCCTTTACTCGAAATATGGCAAAGGATTTCAAATTTGGCAGGTAAGGTACTTACATCAGGCATCGCATAGACGAAACTTCCCATGGGTTTGATAGAGCCGCCCGAATCGCCTGGCGATGAGGTGGCCAGGAATACCATGGCACAATGGCCCAAGAAGTTCAAGTGAACATGTGCTGTTGTATGAAAAGCCTTAGGCAAGGTGAACGAGATCTCTTGAGGCTTGACGCTGGGAGCGGCTATCTCTGCCACAGGAACGGCTGGTGGGGCTTCGGTCGCCATATTTGTTGTTTTACCAATTCTCAGTGTAATGAAAAGATAATGTTGTTAAAAAGAGAATGTAAGCGAGAATGTTATTCTGAGAAGTTGTTGAAAGTCGGAACATTCAATATCGAATCCCCGCCCTGGCACTGTTACGGTGCGGCATAACAGCCACATGAAACTTAATTCCTATTGGCTCCCGAGGTATTATTGCTGGCAGAAAATCACCTGTCGGTCCCTGCAGAGCTCTCTTTGCCTCTTTGTTCTTTCTTCCATGAAGATATAATAGATGACTCATTGCATTACTAAATGACTATGTACATACCTATATTCCTATCTATAGATAGGCTATAGCTGTATATGGATCCGTTGGTGTTTATATTCGAAATAAGAAGGCGGAGAGTATCGCGGTAAAGCCAATTGACCCAATAAGAGTCACTGTTTGCCTTGAGATGGATTTCCCACTTGTTTGATCTGCCCCTCCATATACTTTCTCTCTCTTTTCTCGTTTTTATTTTTTCAAAAAGTGTTGCTTCTTTGTCGCTGCCAATCCTCTCATAGGGAGTGTCACCCTGTAGCATTGAGTAGCACCGTTAGACGTGGCGCTACTCTGAAAACCTCCACATGGCATCCGAGCATCAAAAGCCCAGGACTGGGGAGGAGGAGAGCGGTTGGGGAGGGGACTTCGACCCTTTCGCTGATCCTGAAGAGCGTAGAGTGCTATTTGCTGCATTTGACTCGTTCAGGTACGTCGGTAGACAATTGATTACAACGTATATCTTTCTGGCTTGTAGCTTCTGCATCGGATTGAAAGGACCAATTGCCTACATATAATCGCAATTTGGCTAATCTACCCACAGACAATACCGGCGAACTGCGCATATGAATACAACTCATCGCCGACGGCAAGCTTTCTATGCCCTGCCCTCGGCACACTGGCAGATGCTGTCGGAGCCTCCATTCTCCATACTTGATAACTTCAACAAAGTGGACGATGCCATTGACACCAACGCCAATATCGCCGATGAAATTCTGGCGCTGGGTCTCCAGTCATTTGGTCTTTCTGCAAACCCCGACACAACCGATCCTACTCAAAACTGGCATGACATCGCAACTTCATCAGACGTCAACAAAGCGCACTCGACGATACGCCAGTTCTATCGTGACTGGAGTCTCGAAGGACGACCCGAGAGAGAAGTCTGCTATGACCCCGTTCTCCAGGCTCTGGACGAGGAGTTCCAGACACGGCGTGATAGCGGAGAGGAAATCCGTGTTCTGGTCCCTGGCGCTGGTCTGGGCCGCTTGGTTTTTGAAATCTGCATGGCAGGCTATGATGCCGAGGGAAACGAAATCTCCTACCACCAGCTGCTAGCCAGTAGTTGGGTTCTGAACCACACCAAGGGGCCGGCAAAGCACGCCCTTCACCCTTTCGCATTGCATTTCTCCAATCTCCAATCCCGAGCACAGCAACTCCAGCAAGTTATGATCCCCGACGTCCACCCCGGATTCGCCATGCAGGAGGCTGCCAATGCTGGTCGCCGCTTAGGTGCGATGTCCATGTCCGCAGCGGACTTTACTGTATTGTATACCCAACCGAACAATCACGAGACGTTTGACGCAGTAACGACTGTTTTCTTCATTGACACGGCGCCAAATCTTATTCGATACATCGAGACGATCCGACACAGCCTCAAACCAAATGGACTCTGGATCAACGTGGGTCCGTTACTATGGCATTTCGATGACGGTCACTCCCGGAGAGGAAGTAGTTCCGAATACGAGGGGGCTGGGATTGGCGAGCCAGGCAATGTGGAGCTATCTGAAGATGAAGTGCTGAGCCTTGTGGAGCGTATGGGATTCCGCCTTGAGAAGCGCGGAGATCGTAAGCCTTGCGGCTATATTCAGGATCCCAACAGCATGCTTCAAAATCTTTATCAGCCATCCCACTGGGTGGTGCGAAAAGTGGCAGTTTAATGGGGAGGCTGGTAAAGCGGACAAACCCCTGTAATTCGGATACATAGGCTGCTATTTTTCTCTCTCATCCTTTGGGGGCCAAAACTCGGACAAAGAAGGAGCGGATTATCGTTGGATTAGTAAGAAGATTTCCAATTAAAAACATCTACTCCGTACAAAGTACAAAGTACTCGGTATGTTGTATATACTACTCCGTACCTCTCTGTACATATAGTATTTCACGTATTTCACAAAGATGTTCCTACCCCGCGGGGAGCTGGGCGCCAAGCGAAACGGTGAGATTGAATTCAAAATAAATTGAGTAATTCAAGTAAATTGGAGATCTATATCCATATACTCCGTAGGAGTACGGTCTTCTAAACAAAGTGGCCTATTTAAGCTATGTTGTATACATAGGGTAAATACCTAATTCTCAGCCAAAAAGTCGATTTAAAATCGCCCTCAATTTAGAATTCCCCTATATAAATATATATATACTCCGTATATACTAATTTTAAATAAATCTTAAGTGTCATTCTTTCATCTCTCTTTGATCTCCACAATTTATCCTAAACCTCAGCCTCACTTTCCCCCTCTTTCATCTTTCCCCCCCCCCCCCCCCCCCCCCC